GGGAGACGAACCATGAGAGACTACGGACTCTGAGAAACAAACTGAGGGTTCTAGAGGGGATGGGGGTGGGGGAATGGGTTAGCCCGGTGATGGGTATTAAAGAGGGCACGTACTGAATGGAGCACTGGGTGTTATATGCAAACAATGAATCATGGAACATTACATCAAAAACTAATGATGGAATGTATGGTGATTAACATAACATAATAAAAATTTTTTAAAACAGTTTATCATTGTAGTGGAAATGAAAGTATTTACAGATTTTAGTAAAGTTGAAAATGATGCAAAATGTATTTGTTTATGGAATGAAGAGCAAGAACTTTTTGAAGGCCAAAGAGCAAATTATGCAACATGTGGAGTATAGTGCCTGTGTCATTGAAAGTAATCAGAATCAACAAGAGATGGGGAAAAGTGATGGGGGCAGGGAGAACCTTTTAGTTCAAGGACAACTATCAATGTCAGATTTCTGGGACCTTCACATTTATTTAGGGAAAAACAAGGGGTTAATCAGAGATTAAGTCTGAAAACAGTGTAAATTGAACTTTGGCCACAGGCCACAGAGGGTTTTATAAGTTCAGGGCTATTTAAACACTTGCTCAAAGTGAATGAATGCCTGGTGGCTAGTGCAAACACTAGAGCTACTTGGGCATTCCTTACACTACTAGGAAATAAAGATAGTTAAAGCTTCAATGGGATTTGAAAAACAATTTTAGAGTAGCCAAAACTGATCTCTTTTAAGGGAAAAAAAAGGAAGAAGAAGAAGAAGCCTGATGGAAGAAGGTTTATCATCATAGAGGAGAAAAATATTTCTGGTTTAAAAGTGACAAAGGACCAGCTAACATATCTACTTATGAGAAATGCGTAAGCACAGGAAGCACAGTCTCTTGCAAACAAACTGACTTCTTTATACCTTCAGGAACCTAACCCGTACATAGAAAAGCTTCTGTACAATTTAGACCGAATAATAGCAGATTGTTTCATAGAAGATGCACAAACATCACTTTTAATATCAATCTTCAGAAGGTTAAAACATATCAATGAAAATAGTTTTGCAGGGATGTAGACTAATGTGGTCTAGCTATACTATACACAAGTCCAGAGGCTCAGGCACATGAGTGGACGTTAGTGTGGCTGAGAAGGATGAGGTTAGAAGGTAGTGGAAGTTAATGAGTTTGGAGAGGGAACCAAGAGCAAGATCATGTAGGGCCTTATAGGCTATAATGATAACTTTAGGTTTTATTCTAAGGTGTTTGGAAGCCATTAGCAAGTTGAGAGCAGAGAAAGGGTGAACAACTACCATAAATGATAGGTTCACGCTAAATGGAGGCTGTGCTTCGGGCAGTCATACAGATGTGTCAGAATGAAAAGAACCTGGGTTAATGTTGACTTTAAATTTTTTTATTTTGAAAATTTGTGGTTGTAGAGTTATGTAAGACCTACGTAAGAGGTGTTGACACACACACACACACCTTTTTGTTTTCCAAAGTTTGCTAACAGTACTGAAACTCATTTCTTATATTCTTATTTCTTTTCTGTTCTTTTTAAAGTTTAAATCAAAATGCTAGCCACAGACTACTAAATGACTTCATAACACACTAATGAATCAGAACTCGAAGTCTGAAAAACACCGTAAATCTGGTATAATTCCTTTATTTGGCTTGTCAAGGCACACAGTACTACAAATGACCAAGCCAGAATCCAGATATTGCCACATTTCCTATGAATATGTTCATTAAGAAATAAAAACCAAATTCCTCTATACAGTGTAACAGTAGGTTCCAGGGTAGAAAAAAATGGTGAGGGTAAGTGTTCCTACTTGAGTGTATTACCTGTGCTTCTCTCCCTGGCGTGAAATGGTAAGGCCTATGAATTTCAAATGGACTTATAAACTATCAATACAATTTTCATCATTAATGGTCTGTAATTAAGTATACAAATTGCTAGCCCAAGTAACAGTTGTTTTCTTTTGAATTACAAATAGAGAATAAGTGATTTATAGATAGCCTGGTGGCCTTTAAATTGTCACCTAGGAATTAATGAAAAGAAATTCCGCTTTCATATTTTCTTCAAGTTGTATATTCTTTTGCTGTGTTTCATTTTGGAAAAGAGCTTGTGGAAGGAGTGAAGGATAAATGAAACATAAAGGTCAGTGTGAAGTAATGGGGAAAAAATGGCCCTTTCGATTCTATTATATGAATCCTTGCTCCTAGCTCTTTGACCTTTGGAAGATACTTGCCTGTGCCTCATTTTTCTCATTTACATATGGAAATAATATCTGTATCATAGCTTTAATGTTAAGATTAAGTGAGGACCTGGTGGTGTAACATATATTTTAATAAATATTAGTTTTCTTCTTTCCTTTCTTCTTTAGGAAGGAATTCAGTGAAAATATGTTGCTAGAATAAGCAGGGCTGGAGAGTGTAGAAAAATGCAAAAAGAAAGGTACATCTTTTTTTTATTGGTTGTTCTCTTCCTAGTAAGTCTGTTGTGCATGATCCCAATTGTTCCTGATTTCTTTTAGAATAGGTAGGCTTTCTGTGCTTCTTGCTACCCCTCCCCTTTTTAAAGAGGGAAGTTACCCAAGCGATGAAAGGCAAGTTTAGAAGGCCAGAAAATAGTAGCTTCATAGCTGATTCCAGTATTTTAGTTCCTAGTGTCTCCAATCTGCTTTATTACAAAGAAGTCACTGAAGATATGTCATTCCTGATACCAAGTATGTTAGTTAGCTGATAGCTGTTAATTATAGGTGTTACCTAAAACCAATTGCCCTCGCCTGTGGAATAAACACTTCGTTTGATTTAACTCAGATATCCTAGAAGCAAGATTACAAAGAATGAGATGGAAAGATAGAATTAGAATTTTGTCTAGCTCGCTTTTTTTTTAAAGATCTTATTTATTTATCTGACAGAGAGAGACACAGTGAGAGAGGAAACACAAGCAGGGGGAATGGGAGAGGGAGAAGCAGGCTTCCCAATGAGCAGGGAGCCCGATGCAGGGCTCGATCTCAGGACCCTGGGATCATGACCTGAGCCGAAGGCAGATGCTTAACGACTGAGCCACCCAGGCGCCCCTAGCTGGCATTTTTTTTTTTTAATAACAGCTTTATTGAGATATAATTCACATACTATAAAATTCACCCTTGGGACGCCTGGGTGGCTCGGCTGGTTAAATGTCTGCCTTTTGCTCAGGTCATGATCCTAGGGTCCTGGGATTGAGCCCCACATTGGGCTCCTTGCAAAGCAAGGAGTCTGCTTCTCCCTCTGCCCCTCCCCCTGTTTGTACACCCATGTGCTCTCTCTCTCTGTCAAATAAATAAAAATCTTTTAAAAAAATCATCCTTTTAAAGTGTACAATTCATCGGTTTTTAGTATATTCACAAAGCTATGTAACCATCACTATTGTTTAATTTTTAGAACATTTTAATCACCTCCAAAAGAAACCTGTACGCATTAGCAATCATTCTCCACCATCACTCTCCACCACCACTCTCCTGCCCCTTTACCCTTTTCCCCTGGTATCTCAACCCCTTGCAACGACAAATGTGCTTTTTGTCTCCATGGATTTGCTTATTCTGGACATTTCATATGAATGAAATTATATAGTATTGGCCTTTTGTGACTAACTTTTTAGTGTAATATTTTAAAAGTTCATCCATGTTGTAGCATGAATCAGTACTTCATTACTTTATATTGCCAAATAATATAATATAATATGAATACACTGCATTTTGTTATCCTGTTCATCAGTTGATGGACATTCAGGTTGTTTACACTTTTTGGCTATTATGAATAATGCTGCTATGAAGTTCATGTACAAGTTTTGTGAGGTCATATGTTTTCAGTTCTCTTGTGTATATACCTCAGAGTAGAATTGCTGGGTCATATGCTAACTTTTTGTTTAACATTTTGAGGACTTTATAAACTGTTTTCCAAAGTGCACCGTTTTGCCTAGCTGGATTTTAAATCACTTGGTGTCCAGGTTCTAATTTCCTATGTATTAAAGGAGAGCCTTAGCTGAAACAAGTAGTTTGAATTGATAGGGGAAAAAAATCCACCTGTAGTAGTTTGCAAAGGTGGAAGTCCTTTTTCTTAAAGTAGGTTTGGAATTATTAGTATTAATCTTTGTTCTTTTTTTTTTTTTTTTTTCAGTTTTATTTTTTTATTTGGGGGGAGGGGCAGATGAATTGATAGGGGAAAAAAATCCACCTGTAGTAGTTTGCAAAGGTGGAAGTCCTTTTTCTTAAAGTAGGTTTGGAATTATTAGTATTAATCTTTGTTCTTTTTTTTTTTTTTTTGCAGTTTTATCTCCAAGACACTAAAAGTAGTAACGGTACCTTTATAAATAGCCAGAGATTGAGTCGAGGCTCTGAAGAAAGTCCACCATGTGAAATTCTTTCTGGTGACATTATCCAGTTTGGGGTAGATGTAACGGAGAACACACGGAAAGGTACGGGTATGGATCGATTTTTCCTATTATTTGTCTTTTTAGGTTTTAAAAAAATTCTGTTTAATGTTATAAAACATTTCATGTTTGTACAAGTATTTAAATATAGCATTATATGCAGTGAAAAATTAAAAATCTCTTACTTCCTCTATTGCTTTTCTAAAGTTTTAAATTCTGAAATGTTAATAAGTGAATTTATAATTTTCATCACAGTATGAAAATATAGGACATTCCTGTGCTAGTTTAGGAAACAGTTGGCTGCAGTGACAGCATACCCAACCAACAGGAGCTTAAACCGAAAGAATATTTATTGTTAACAAGAATGCAGGAGGGTAGGTCCAGACATTGTTCACTTGACTCAGTGGTATTATCAGGAATCCAGGGCTTTACTGTCCTTAACATGTTGGTTTCTTATGCTTTTGCTTATCTTAGGTTTTTGCTTGCCACCTCATGGTTAAAGAGGGATGATTGCAGCTCCAGGCCTTATTTTCCTCATGCCAGTGTACTTGGCAAAAACTGCGAGGCGGGGACAAAATGTCTTCCTGTATGGCTCTTTTTTTATGTTGAAAGCACAGTCTTCTGTAGAATTCTCTCAGCAGATTTACATTCCTCTTGTCTCAGTGGCCACATACATACCTATCTATGGCTACAAAGAAGCCTGGGAAGTTACTTACCTTGCAGAAGGGATCAGGACATCCATGATTGTCATATGTCCATTATGACCTATCCCTTCCAGTTGTGCATACATTGTTGTCCCAAACGAAATCAGAGTTCTGTAGGCAGTTAATAGTACCTATCAAGATGTAAAATTTCACATCTCATAATTTTTGAAACTAGAAGTTCTTTAGCTAAATAAATGTAGATTGTCTTCAATTTTACAATTCTAAAGCTTCCTGGCTTTACCTGCTTCATTGTCTACTTTATGTCCATGAAATTATATGGCTGGATCATAAAACTAAGTGAATAGGAACCGAAAATGTGCAGCTCCTCTTAGTTTAATATGGACAATGGAACAAATTGACAGGTTTATCCTTTTGCTTCTCTGAACATACTTTGATCTGGTGATGACCTAAGTCATCAGTATGTGACATTTTGCACAGTAGACATGGGGATGAGGGTGGGCGGGCAGTGATGCTGCTTCCATGTGTGTGCATGTGCATATATGTTTATATAATTTTCACTGGTTGTTGGAATGCAGTATTACTTTTACTGGGTTTTGATGGCCTTCTCAGGGAGTTAAATTTTGATATTTGAATTCAGGTAGGATCATACTCTTAGGAATTTCCATTCACAGTTGTAAAATAGAAAGTTTGTATTTTGATGCAAAATATTGAGTACTCCTTACTAAGAGAGCTCATCTTATGTATGACCATACTAAGAATAGCCATGTTGGACACTGTAGCATCTGTTGCCACATCACACCACCTCTGGTACCAAGTCATTCAGCAAACACTTACTGAGCCCCAGCTGTGAATAACCCACAGAGAAGACAGAGAATTTGATTCCGTGTTTTCTCCAAGGAATGTCTGTCTTCTTGGCTTGCATTTCCCAAAGAGAATTAATGGGTTGTTAATTAATAAAAGAATGAGGTTGTCAAATACACTTAGGAAATGCTTAGTTAACCAAAGGTATACAGGACTTTTCAGAGTCCTTAATATGCTAACATATATGCAGATTTCCAGGGAGGTGACTGTTCTAGAATGCAGCTCTTTCCAAACTCCTTCCCACTCTTCTTTCCCATCTAGCTGTGAGAGACATTCTTTAGAACATGCTGTAGGAAGCTAAGAGGACAATCCTGAAATTCAGGGTTATTATTAGTGCACTATTATTTTAGCAACATTTGATTCTTGCAGGGTTCTTTGAATATTTAACTGTCTTTTATGCCAACTTTAAGGAAATTAAGTAAAGAAAAATTTCTTTATCATTTAAAATGTTTCTTTTGGTATTTATTGCTTTCAAAAAGTTGACTTATGCCTGGACTCTTGGGATACAGCTCTATCACTAGCTGAGGACTACCTGTTTAAGCATATACCAGGGAAAAAGTTAGACTTTGTCCTATGCTAAACAGTACTATGATAAGCTTTACATCACTTGGAAAATCCTACTGAAATTATACAACACTACAGGTTAACCCCGATTCAAAGAAGAAATCAAAAGGGGAATTTTAGGGGCGTCTGGGTGGCTCAGTCGTTGGGCATCTGCCTTCGGCTCGGGTCGTGATCCCAGGGTCCTGGGATCGAGTCCCACATCGAGCTCCCCGCTCAGCGGGAAGCCTGCTTCTCCCTCTCCCACTCCCCCTGCTTGTGTTTCCTCTTGCTGTCTCTCTCTCTCTGTCAAATAAATAAATAAAATCTTTAAAAAAAAAACAAAGGGAATTTTACACTATGTAGAAAGAAAAGGAAAGGAAACTTTTATACCAAAGTGCAGTAAATCCTTTACTCAAATAAAAATTTATAATCTTAAATTCCTTCTGTACTAAAGAAAAAGGACAACTGGGTATTTACCCCAAAGATACAAATGTAGGGATCCGAAGGGGTACGTGCACCCCAACGTTTATAGCAGCAATGTCCACAATAGCCAAACTGTGGAAAGAGCCAAGATGTCCATCGACAGATGAATGGATAAAGAAGATGTGGTATATATACACAATGGAATATTATGCAGCCATCAAAAGGAATGAGATCTTGCCATTTGCAACGACGTGGATGGAACTGGAGGGTGTTATGCTGAGAGACATGTATCATATGACCTCACTGATATGAGGAATTCTTAATCTCAGGAAACAAACTGAGGGTTGCTGGAGTGGTGGGGGGTGGGAGGGATGGGGTGGCTGGGTGATAGACATTGGGGAGGGTATGTGCTATGGTGAGCACTGTGAATTGTACAAGACTCTTGAATCACAGATCTGTACTTCTGAAACAAATAATGCAATAGATGTTAAGAAAAAAAAGAAGAAGAAGAAGAAGATAGCAGGAGGGGAAGAATGAAGGGGAGTAAGTCGGAGGGGGAGACGAACCATTAGAGACGATGGACTCTGAAAAACAAACTGAGGGTTCTAGAGGGGAGGGGGTGGGGGGATGGGTTAGCCTGGTGATGGGTATTAAAGAGGGCACATTCTGCGTGGAGCACTGGGTGTTATGCACAAACAATGAATCATGGAACACTACATCAAAAACTAATGATGTATGGTGATTAACATAACAATAAAAATTATTTTAAAAAAAGGACAATGAAGGAACTTGGCATTTAGGAGAAATGAGAAAAAGAACAAGAAAAAGAAGCTGGGAAATAAAAAGCAGAAATTAATGAAATAAACAACAACAACAACAAAAAAACCATAGAAGGAATAAACAAACCAAATGCTGATTCTTTGAAAATCATCCAACCAACAAAAAACAGGTAATTCATGAGCCTTGATTCCCTTATTAGGTTAAAAAAATACTAGCAAAAATATACAAGGTAAGGAATGAGAAAGGAGACATAAACACAGGTACAGGATATACTAAAAGAATTTTGAGAAACTAGTGCATGCCAACCTATGACAAAGAAAAAAGCTAGAGCAAATTGTTTTCCCAGCAAAATTATCCCAAGATGTAGAAAACTTGAGTAAATTGATTTCCTTAAAAGAGACTAAGAAGTTATTAAAGATTGACCAGAAGCAGAGGCATTCATAGCTGAATATGATCTTATTTTTAAAAGCAGATAAATCCAGTTATTTAAATAATCCAAACATCCATAAAGGTGGAAAGCTGTCAGAATCCTTTAGAGAAGCCAGCAGTATATCATTAATGCAAATCTGTTAAAGACACAGTTCAAAAATAGAAAACTAGCACTTGTGACAATAGATGAACAATTCTGATTAAGGTATTAGTAAATTAACTTCAGAAATGAAGCTATAATAAACAAAGTAGGTTTTATTCTAGGAATGCAAAAATGATTCAGTATTGGGGAAATCTATTAACATCATCCACAAACTAAAAATGTTACATGAAAAACATGTTACTTTATAACCAGTAGGTATTGAAAAGGCATTTGATCCTTCTCTTCCCATCTGACATGGCAACCAGCCTCCCTCCTCTCCAGTTCTGGCTTCCTTTTTCCGTCTAGCCAGCCTGAGCCCTTCCCCTGTTCTTCAGGTTGGCCCTAGAGCCTCTGGTCCCTAGAGTCCCTGTGCTTTCTCCTTTCTTGGGGCTTAGGTCCTCACCCTTCCCCGCTATGAATGAGGAGTATGCAGTGCTCCTACTGGGCACCAGCCTGACTGAATATATCCTGTCAAGTATAATATCAGTGAATGGAAAGAAAGTTCTTCACAGGGATAGAAACTCATACTGTGGAGGAGAAAGTTCATCTATAACACCTCTGGAAGATTTATACAAAAGATTTTAAATACCAGGAGCATCACTACCATCAATGGGGAGAGGAAGAGACTGGAATGTTGGCTTAATTCCCAAGTTCGTTATGGTCAGTGGTCAGCTGGTTAAGATGCTGCTTTATACAAAGGTCACTTGCTATCTGGTTTTCAAAGGACTGAAGGGAGCTTTGTCTATAAGGGAGGAAAAATCTACAAGGTTCCTTCCATTGAAGCAGAAGCCCTGGCATCTAGCTTAATGGGAGTATTTGAAAAATGTCACTTTAGAAAATTCCTAGTGTGTGTTGCCAGCTTTGATGAAAAAGATCCCCGAACTTTTGAGGGCATTGATCCTAAGAAGACTGCAATTCGGAAGGTATACAAGAAATTTGATTTGGGACAGGATGTCATGGATTTTGCTGGCTATGCCATGGCGTTTTTTTTTTTTTTTTTTTTTGGCAGAGTGAGAGAGACATCACAAGTAGGTAGGCAGGCAGAGAGAGAGGGAGAAGCAGGCTCCCCACTGAGCATGGAGCCCAATATGGGGCTCGATCCCAGGATGCCAGGATCATGACCTGAGCCGAAGGCAGACGCCCAATTGACTGAGCCACCCAGGTGCCCCTTTGCTCTGGCAGTTTATAGAACTGATGACTAT